TTTTATCCGTTAATCAATAGTTCTTATAATATAAAGTTATTTAGATATTTTAGTTCTTGTAATCTAAGTGGGTCCAAAATTCAGACAATTTCCTTTTTTTTTTTTTTTAAAAAAAAAATCAATTTGGACTAAAAGTCCAAACGTACTAATCGAATCGAATCGAACCAACCAAATGAATTTGATTTGGGTCGGTTCGGTTAAGAGTTAAAGTGTGTTGGTTTTGGATTGAAATTCACCCAAACTTACTAATTCAAATTTGGTTTTGGGTTGCAGTTGAAACTGACCAAAACCAAGCCGCGCCCAAACTTAGAAATAATGATAATTTATACTAAATTCAATAGTCATTCACATGCTATAGAACAAATATAACATGTTCAAATTTAATAATAACGCTCTACTCATTTAGAAGTGATAAGATAAATGTAATCCGCCCATGTCAAAATTAACGTTCTACTAGCTTATGTGCTTGTTTGGGAGAGGTTTTTTGGGGAAGAATTGATTTTGAATAGTGATAGGATGAGAAATGTGTGGTTGAAAAAGAAGAAAAAATTATTGATGTGATGGAAAATATTATTTTATTGAAAAATGTGTGGTTGAAAATGAGAATTAATTTACTGCAAAATTTTGAGAATCCCTCCCAAACAGGGCCTATATATGACATGAAAAATAATGCTCTTGGATAAGAGTGTAGGATTTGGATTTGTGAAAATTAAAATCACACAACTTCCATGAATACTGAAATCTTAGAAAACTTTAGGTTGCATTTGGTTTGCTATTTTTAGACTATTTTCAATTTTGCAAAACGTTAAAACTGTGTTTGGTATGGTATTCAGAAAATGCATTTTCGAAAACAAGATTAAGCCCTTGTTTGGTTCCCATAAGAAGTCAATGAGTCGAGTTGAGCCGAGATGGTCCTCTCGAAGCTTGGACTCGACTCTAATAAAAATGGTTCGAGTTTTTTTAGCTCGAGCCAAGCCAAACTTTTGCTCGACCAAAAAATCTAGGCTCGACTCAAACTTTTGACTCCAACCTTTGTCGTCTTACTCTTTTTTTTTTTCGTTGTCTTCCGAGCCACGAGCCGGGCTGACTCGGACTTTTCTCGAGGGAAGCCATGAGCCTAGGAGCCAAATTTACACTGCTAGAACTAGGGCCGTCCGTAACCGAACCGACCCAAAATTTTTGGGTATTTAATAAATGGGACCGTCGGGTCTAAATATAATTATGGAACCGTTCGGGTTCGGTTCCGTTCGGTTCGGTTCGGTTCCGTTCCGTTCGGGTCCGTTCAGTTCCGTACCATAATTAAATTTTTTAATATTTACAATAACACTACATAAATACAACTACTGATATTTCATTCATAACTTTTACAAATTAAAGTAGCCCAATTCAAATACATATAAATAACTAGCCGTCCAATAAGATTCAATGCATACAAATACCAAAAAATAGATATTAATATTACAGCAAGACTATATAAAGTATATTCATTTGCTTCAAATTAAAATGGGCTAATGGGTTTTAAAAGTGATTTGAGCTTTAAAATTAAAATTATGAAATAATCTGATTTATTTAATTAATTTGCTAATTT